AATTGATAATTACATTGCCAAGTAATTTTGTATAAGTAATGAACACGGATAACATCATTATAATAGGTAAACTCGTACAAACGCTACTCAAATAAACCCATTCTATTAATCTACTTTTAACTTCCTTTAATTCATAATCACGTGCGCTCAAAACTTTTGCGCGAAAATGGTCTTCCAATGCAAAACATTTAATGACGCGGATGGCCCTTAATAGCTGTTAAATAAATGAAAGTAATTTTCAGTTTAACTTGTGGTGAAGATGAAATGTCAAAATCGAAAAATGATTTATTGCAATTATAACCTCATTTATCACATTCATTCTCTTGTCAGTTGCTGACATAAGACGTTTTTGAATAGTTTGAAGCCTCTAAATTATATTTATAAACCATTATCTAATTACTAAATAAAATAAATAAAATTATTGAATAGAGTATCAATATACCTGATTAATAATAACTGGTAACGGATATGTTATAACTATAGCTAATACACCTGCCAGAGCCGATATACCAAGCAAGGCATATAACAATAATAGAGAAATAATGATCTGTATAGGGTAACCATATACTAAAATATACAAAATATCAGAGTCATTTACGTCCTAAACAATATCATGATATGAATGAACTTACTATAAAAAAGATAAGCCACAAATTCTGAAACTTTTTGAGCGTCAACAGCCATAAGATTAGTAATCTTTCCAGCCTTATTTTTAGTTCCAACACCTGATGTGTCTTTCCGAGATAGTGACTTTAGATATACATGACCAATAATTATTGCCTATAATAATAAAATGGGTAAATTATTTGTGACCGAAAACATTTAAAACACTGGTATATTAAATCAGCATTGCATAACCGATATTTTTACGAAAGCATAGCATACATGACACTTTACGCTTAGATGGCGACCAATATGTAATGCCTGTTGGAAGAACAAACTTGGCACTACACTGCCCAAAAAAAATCCCAAAGAATATAAATAAGCTGTCTCATGTGACCCTTTTGGATAGTTTTGAACATATAATAACAATTTTCGGAGAAAATAAGGAGGAATAATAGAGAAAGTTAGAGACCAAAGTATTGAATAAATAAATTGTATAAGAAGCTCCTTCCGAAAGGTAAAAAATAATGACTTTATAAAAGAAGGTTTTTTAAAAGAATTAAAAATTTTTAATATATTTTTAGCTTGAGCAAAACTTGGTAACTCAAAAATATCTTTGTGGTCAAGGGTAGATCGAAAACCCTTGTTGATTAAAGGATTGACCCATGAAAACATTAATTGATCGTAAAGAGAGCATTTCACCTCAGGTGACATGTATCTGCCCTAATAAAATGTAAATTATGGCCAGTTAATCAACTAATAAGTTCTTCATATAGAATAGATTTTGTTAAAACAAATCCAGTACCTCAACATTTGGTTTTGAAATAGATTCAAAACCGTCTTTCGGTTCCGAGATTGAAAAGCAAACCAAAATCAATGAAAAGCCAACAATCCATTGATTGAGCGAATATTTCGCGA